AAGCTGTGATGAGCTCAAGTAATTGATACACCTGAGGCTAGTAGTACGGATGTGTTTAGTAGTGGGACTTCTAGGGGGTTTAAGGGGTTAATGCCTGTAGGGGGTCAATATCCTCCTAATTCTGGGGTAGGTGCTAGGCTAGAGTGATAAAATGCTCAGAAGAAACCTGAGAAGAAGAACACTTCCGAGATAATAAAGAGGATTATCCCATAACGAAGGCCTTTTTGTACGATGGACGTATGGTGGCCCTGATATGTTCCTTCTCGTACTACATCTCGTCATCATTGATACATAGTTATGAGATTGGTTAATATACTTAGTGAGAGTAAGGTTGTTGAATTAAAATGAAATCATATAATTATACCTGAGGTAAGTAGAAGGGCTGATAATGCTCTTGTAAGGGGCCAAGGGCTTGGCTTAACTATGTGGTATGCATGTGTTTGGTGGGTCATTAAGTATTGTCCTGTAGGTAAAGGCTAACTAGTAGTGTAAACACATAGACTTGAATTAACACTATGGCGAATTCAAGAATAGTTAAAAGGAGGAGAATAATAAATGTTATTAAAGCCGCTGGAGGGCTAATTGTAAGTAGTACAGAGGTTGCCCCTAAAATTAGATGCATTAATAAATGTCTGGCAGTAATATTAGCAGTTAGATGGACTGCTAAAGCTATAGGTGGAATAAATAAGCTAATTGTTTCGATTACAACTAATATAGGGATGAGAAGAATAGGTGTGCCTTGGGGAAGGAAGTGTGCTAAAGATATTTTTGTTTTATGTTGGAAGCCTAAGATTACAGCCCCCGCTCAAAGAGGGATTGCTCTTCCTAAATTTATAGATAATTGGGTAGTGGGGGTGAAGGAGTGTGGCAATAATCCTAATAAGTTGGTTGTTCCAATAAACAGGATTAGTGAGATTGGTATTAAAGATCAAGTTCATCCTTTAGTAGAGTGTATTGATATTATTTGTTTTAGGATTAGTTTAATTAATCACTACTGAAGAGCAAATACTCGATTATTAATTAGTCATTTTGGGTTGGGAAATAGTATGTTTCCTGCCACAGAAGAAACCAGTTCTTATGGAAGGCTTCTACCAAAGAAGCATGAAGACCTTTCTAGTGTGAATTTTTCCAAAATGAAATAAAATTGGCCTGATGAACCCC